TACTTAGTTGAATATTGTTGGTGAGTTAATATTGTGTACTCTAGCACGGTTTTGTGTTTACTAGTGCAGAGTAAACTATAGAATAGTTTTGTACCTATATTATAGTTTAATTATAGTTTTACTAAAATACTATTTAGTAGTATTTTGACTACGGTATTACAATAACACCAATATGAGCTCTTATTTGTACTTAAACTTACCTTAAGTTTATTTGCAAATGATATGACTTTGATATAATATATCTACTTAAAGATATACTTTAGGTAATATGAAATTGGATAAGACTTACAATGCAATAAAACCACATTTGAATGTGACTTCTTCATGAACATCTGAAGCGTTTTAGGAAGAATAAAAAGATTTTTGTGCGTCGTTTTTTTTTACAATTGAGGGACCCGGGTATAACGTCGTAATTCTGAAACAATATCGGAAGAAAAAAATAGAGTGAAATAGGCTCCTTGACTCCAAAGTAAGTTTGTATCCAGAAATCAGCCAAAAAGATCTGTTATTAAACTTATTAGAGCTTGTTTGTTTTGGGCACTAATGAAATTTTGCTGATAGGTTATTTTCAAACTGTTAAAAAAATAAACTTAAACTTTTATTGTAACTTTTTACACAAATTGGATTATAAAAAAGGAAACTGATTCTCCAGCAAGAGAACGCGATTGCTCAAACAGTTCAAAAAGTTATCGTCAGCACTAGTGGAATAAAGTAAGGATTGGTTCGATCGATTCGTCAGATGTGACCGCCGCTGACTTCAAGCTCTTTTTTCTTCTATAAAAACTCATTAGTCTTTCTTAGACTACATACTTTATTGAAGATGCTTTTGATCAAACGAAAAGGAAGCAGTTATCTTAAAAAGCTTATTTGTAAAAGGAATAAACTGAAAAATAAAGTCATTTTTGTAAGTAAATATCTATATTTTTATATCCCTTCTAACTTCAGTTTAGGTTACTCTGAATGGGTAACATCAATGAAGTAAAATAAGGATTGTTCAAATAACCGAACGATTCGCCAGACCTTTTATGATAACTTCTAGCTCTTCTTAAGTCCACAAAATGTCTTTAATCTTGTTTAATCCACATACTTGATAAAAGATGATCTTGATTCAACGAAGAGGTAATAGCTATCTTAAAAAAGGGATCTTGTAGAAGGACTAAACTGAAAAATAAAGTCATTTTTGCAAATAGCAATCTATTTTTCCATATTTTACCATTAGTTTAGGTTACTTTGAAAAGGTGTTACCCAGCAGGATTGTTTAAATAACTTTCCAATTTGCTTGATGTAGCTCTCAATGATTTTGATAAAATAAAGAGATAATATCTATTTTAAAATTTATTTTGTGGAAGGGCTATGCTGAAAAATAAAATCATTTTTGCAAATAAAAATCTGTTATACTACTGTTCAAGGCCTGTCAAAGAAAAGATTTGTAAATAAATATATTATTTAGGGTAACCTTAACTCAAAGTGGAGATACAGCATATACTAAATGTAACAGTTTTTATTAAAATAGTCACATGGCTTAGGTTAAGTTATACCGGCAATCCAAAGACGATTCACTTACGCCTATTGTCCAATTGTGTTACCGTATAATGGAGCGACTCAGGGCCTAAAACCATCTGGAACCTTCTGCGAAGCTTAGAATGTTGTTAAGTGGTAGATCTTGCACTTGATGAAGATCCTCAAAAAAGGGGGCTCCTAAAGTGTTTAGTCGCCGTTGATGGAAGGTACTTTCACCGCCTTTCCCACAGCTGTGACAGGTATACTTGAAGGGGAGATTCGATTTTCTAGCATGGTTATCTAATTCACAATGACCTGTAAATTAACCCACAAATCTTTTTAGTAAATTAGTGTAAAATTTTATCATTATAAGATTTTCTTCAAAATATATTTAAAATATAAAAAAATATATTAAAAATATATTTAAAATATAAAAAAATATATTAAAAATATATTTTAAATATAAAAAATGTATTAAATATTTATTTTGCGCTTTCGTAAAATTTTTTAAAAGTGCATTTAATTAATTTTTGTTGGAAAAAATTAACATAATTAATTGCTCAATTATGCATTACAGAAATGAGTCCCAAGTACACGAATTACGGATTTTATTGTTAAGCTCATAGGAGAGGGAATGACAATATGTTTTTTTTTTGTCGCCTGCACATTCGAGGACATATTGAAGTCATTTTTATGGCGAGAGAGTTTAAATGCAACTCATAGATACATGTATATTTGTACATGAATGTATATATTATTATTACCGTGTAAATACAAATCAGTGAAGTGCATAATTATAATGAGGCAAGAACGAACGCAGCGGTCATGTTAAAAGCACACAATTGTTCACTGGTCTACCATTCTGAACACAATACTTAGTTGCAGGAGTTCAACATTATGTGTTATAAAATTTAACATATTCCTGCAGTTGTAGTCCTTTTTCAGTGCATTTAATTGTTTTTATTGTTGTAAGCTTTTATGCAGGTACTAGGTACGCTTTTCCTCGTAGCTCAGTCTGCTAATTAAGTTGCTTTCACTGCGAATGTGAGCTGTGAAAAAAGTCCTGGAATGCTTTTTGTTAAATTATCTCCGGCATTATCTTCATGAAATTGTATTGTGGCATAGTAAAATATGAAAAGGATTTTCATTTGCTTGTATATTTACTTGAGCAAAAAAAATTGTATAAGAAAATTAATGGAATTTTTTAGTTAAGGTTCAGAGTTTGCTGGAACTACAAGTTATAAATATGTAATTTTTATTTGTGAAAAGTGTTACGTCGAAACTAATTTATTCAGCGTTTCTTTTTTGACTGAACTGTGAAGGAATAACAAATTACATTATGTATTTATTCTGGCATGAAGAACATAAAGAAAAAAAATATGGAGTGTAGTAAATTTTCAAAAGTGTGTCATATTTAAGCTTGAAATATTTACATAAAATAGGGTAATTTAATTAATAAAATCTTATTTACAAAAGAAAAAAATGCATGTATATAGATATATATGTTGGGCAAAAAGTATTCAGCGGTTTATTTTTAGAAGAAGAAGTATTAGAAGTGACGATTATGCACTGCGATTTATAAAAAATAACCGTAAAATATAGTTATTTATTAAAGAACTTATAATTAAAAAAAACAACTATATATGTAAAGAATTATACCATCACGGCAACAGGGCAACCCTGATTACAGTGCAGTGGAGAAAGGAGTGAAGAAGTAATGTACCATCAGTTGTTGCGTTGTGACAGTTGAAAGTAGAAGTCGAGCTGCTCTTTGTCGCGTGTATGAAATTTATACTATGAATATTACTTATTATTTTATATTACCTATTATTTTACATTTCCTGTAAAATATTAAATATTATTGCATATATTACATATATGCGTTCGACAAAAAGTATTCTGCGGTTTTATATTTATTAGTAAAGAAAATTATATTCCATAATATATGATAGAAAAATTAAAAGTAGTTTAATTAAAATCCTATATTCACAATTAAAAAAAATGGGTTGGAAAAAAAGAATTAATAAAAATATACTGCTATTAAACAACCTAACAATTTCTGTTGGTTCAGAATTCCAGAGCTTAATTAGATTCATGAAAGTCAAGTGGTATTAAATTCATTTCCTCACACTCGGTAGGCACGAGTAGTGGATGTATAGGGATCTACTCCATATATTTGTTGACTCCAGTTTTGTTTTACTTTGTATTTGCTTAACTTTAATAAACAAATGCCAAATGCAATGTGAACAATTTCGCTTAGAAATCAATCCTGTGCATAAATTATTGCTTCTACTGACACTGGTATAGTCAATATAATAGAGTTGTGTACTACATTAATAATAATACTAATGAACAAAACTAATTTGTTGATTACAATTTCCAACGTACGTGACGAGAAACACCACATGCCTTTGTTTCAAAATGCAGGTTTCAGTACAACTGGTGGGGCTTGGTTAGAATTGCTAGATGCTATCATTGATCTTTCAATTTAATCTACTTAAGAAATATGACGAATTAAGTATCTGGATATAACATATTGATTAGTGAATTAAGAAGAAACCAGTTACTCATCAAATCCGTCATTTTCGTCATTGAATGAGCTTTTAAAACTACACTAGATTATATAGAATATTATGTATTGGATGTTTTAAGTACTGATATAGTCTCAAAGGTGGATTTGCCGCGTAAATATACAAGTTCTATTCAGGAAGTTAGTATAAGCTTCTTATAGTTTACTAAATGGTTCTCTAACTTTGAAATTCTTATGGTCAGGCATATATAGACAAGTCTTGCTTTATTCGTTGTGGTCAACTAAGATAAAGAAATGTTGTACCCCTTGACTTAGTTGGATTTAGTAGTCTACCATTGGAGATGTTTTATGAATATTTAGCTATTGAAATATATAGTAAGGTTTCTGTTTTTGTACCACATTAGCGCTGCGTGCGGTATATCCTCATGCGGTTTAAGCTGTGTATGTCCTTTTCACTCGTAAAATTTGGTTTATAATGCATATATTCCCATAAACCTATGTGTCCATAGCAGCAAGGAACAAATTTTGAACATTTTTTTCCGAGATACGAGTAGTTTTATTTTTAAGACGAGGCATATAAAAAAATTTTTTTGACCAGTCAGAACTTATGAGGTCTAATGTCAATATAGATATCACTGAATAATTAATTACTTAATTTAATTATTACTTAAATAATGACTTTACGTTTTATTTAGATCATTAATATTAAATATAAAATAAAATTTATATTGTGTATTTTATTTTTAACTACTCACTATTTTTATTATTTAATTTTTTAAAGGAATGAATGAAATACATTCAGAAGGTTTGAAATTAAGTTCAGTTTAACTTCATTAAAAATAAAAATATTTTCCTAGACTTGTTGCTTCGTTGCCATGAAAATAAATTACTTAAATTAACAAAGCATGTCTTGCCATAATAAAGTGAAGTTTCTTTAAGTTTAAGAAAACTAAAATGAAGCAGAAAAAATTATTGATCTAACATAAATAAGAATAAAAATAGACAAAAGCAAACTTTCTGGCATTTTTTCGAATGAAAAATTTGCAGTGTACCATTTGAAAGCATAATTTAGTGTCATGTCTTATTCCGCACGTAAATTGGATGAGTTTATTTACGAAAAAGTGTTAAAATTAAGTAAATTCTTTTAGGTTGTGGTGGTCAGTCAAGAGCTGCAAAATATCGCTTGGGCTTACACGGAAGATATATAGGACCAGGAGCCACAGCAGAAAATACAAATAATTACCGTCAACGTATAAGTACGGAATGGGGTGTGTTGGAGTCGGCAGGTATAGCTACATCATTCTCATCAACCATTTATGGTAGATGCCCTATAGTTTATCCTCGTACAATTGGACTGATACCAAATTACGGTGGACACATACCAGGCTATTTGGCTACAGTTGGAAAAACATTTGGTGATGCAACTGTAGATGCAAAGAGATCCATGTACTATTGCAGATGCACATAGTGAACAGATTTTTCATTCGAAATCACTAAATTTTATTGTAAATACAAATTTATTTAGGCATACATTGGAAACCAAATTATCATGACAAAATTAAATTAATTGAAAAAATTAATAAACACCAGCAATAAAAAACAATAAACACTCAATAGAACACAACAACAATTTTTTGACATTATTTTATTTTAATTTGTGATGACATGTTGCGGTGATACAATACATGCGAATGTATAGAAAAAGTAGTGATAATTATGAGTATAAATATTACTGGTTATATTAATAGGAGTTAAAGTTTGTTGAAGTTTTTGATTATATACATGGTATGGAACAATTATAATAAAGAAATGAGTTGAAGCAACATAAAATAAGTGATATTAAAAATAATTATCCGAAGTATTCCTCACGAATTTATATAAACGCAGGTGGTGACTCGCAGTTCGACGAAACGATTAAGAATTGAAGAGTGAAGCAATCTTTACTATATATATCTTCCATGTTTAAAATTCACCAAAATAAAAGTTAAATAAAAGTTTCAAATAAACCTTCAGCGAAAAAGTTTCTAATATCTCGAAAATGGTTCATTAAAATGGCTGGACTTTTAACCATTTTTAATCCATTAAATATTCTCTAAATTGAATTCTAAGATTCATATACTTAAACATGTGAAGACATAGTGATTCAAAGTTGATTAATTTTTTTAGGAAAATTTTTAATTTTAACAAAAAATTTATTTATTTCAATTAAACTACTGCTATCCATCAAAAACCACTAGTGGATGTGGGTTCTTATGATTAAATTTGAACGTTTCAGCCAATAAAGCTGCAGTTAATCTACCTCAATGGACGATTACAGAAGAATTTGATTTTCTGGGAAGGAATTTATTTTACAAGAAATGTTCACAAAATAATAACAAAATGAAATGTTCGTGTAATAATATTGATACATGGACCCAAAAATCTGTAACAAAAAATTGTAAGAAATATTAGTTTTTTTTTGGCAGAAATCAAAAATCTCAAACAAAACAATTTTGAAGCATTATAATTTTCGTACCCAATTCAGATCAAAAACATGCTATGCATCAAATTAAAGTATGCATATTTAATATAATTCAATTTTTTTAAGGGTTGTGCTGGAGAAATCTAAGGCTTTGAGTTTGTTAACCATGAAGTCTAAGCTACAGATTAGGCAGGCTACTTCAGCTCGAATTTCTTACTTTTTTGATTAGTCGAAAAAGACTTGTCAGATAGAGAAAGAGAGTGAAAGAGAGAGAGAAAGATAAACAGAGAGAGAAAAACAGACAGAGAAACAGAAAGATAGAAAACGAAAGAGAGAAAGAAATAGAAAGACAGAGAGAAAAAAGAGAGCGAGAAACAGAGAGAGAAAGAGAGAAACCAGGGAGGGAGAGAGGGATAAAGGTAGAGAGAGGGATAAACAGAAACATAGAGAGAAAAACAGAGGGAGGAAGGGAAAAAGAGAAGGATTGAGAGATAGAGAGTGGGAGAGAGGAAAAGATGAAGAAAGAGAGAGAGAGAGAAAGAAAGAGAGGGAGAGGAGAAATATTTGAATTGCATAATTTATCTTATAAACAGCGTAACCTAAAAATCTCAAACTAGTTCTTACAAATGCCTGATAATAACAAAGTGCTCTATATTGTGTTATCGATATGCTTGACATATGATCAATATTTTAGATTCATGATTTTACACAACTTTTATGTGCTCTTTTTGATAAAAGAAACTGAATTCGTAATATAAATTATTTTTTTCAATAGAGGGGTTTTTATCGAACGGTGGTAAATTACGAGAAATTTTTTTTCAATTTTTTTAATTAATTGAATTTGTGACTGACCATACAACTGCTTCGAGTATTGCCAAATACTCATCGTCTGTAGACTTGCAATTATTTCTTGTATTTAAATATTCCCAACAATTGGCCATTAACAATTAATTAAGGAGACATGTATTCAAAACGATATAAATAAATTAAAGATTTATTTTATCTAAGCAATCCCTTATGTGAGTTATTTTTTCACATAAGGGATTGCTTAGCTTAAGTATTTTTTAAAGTTTCACTTCTTTTCTGGTGAATTATGCCTTTTGTTAGTAGTAGTAAGTAAGTTCTTTTATTTACGATTATTAAATTGTAACATATTTACAGCAGTTTTAACATTTGATTTATTTTATATTTTAATAATGTATAACATAAGAACTACAGATTATTTAAGACAATAACTATTAAATTGTTTGTCCTTTTGTTAGTATAACTTTTAATTTTTACTTAGGTGCGTAAAAGAACTCAAAAGAATATCTTTACTCGTATTTATAAAAATGTGAAAAGGATTTATATTGACTTCGGTTCATAAGCATTTAAAATACCACAAAGTGCAACTTCAGGCTATTTTTTAAATGAAGTACAACCTTTTGAAATATCCATAGCGTTTTTAAATTTATTACACCATTAACTCCTTTAAGGCAATTCCTTTTTGTTTTTTGTTTAGTTTTACTGCAAGTTGAACTCCTGCTGTAAAAAGCAATATAAGATGAGTAACATCCTTTTTTAAATCTGCTTTACTCTTTGTGCTGCTGTAAGCAATATAGAATTTAAAGTACTTTAAGAAGTAAATTAAAAGTTTAATCAGGGGATTTTCATACTTAACTTATTTTTAAAGCTAATAGAGTGCTTATATCAATCAGAGCAAGATTAAGACATTTCACATATATTTAAAAGTAGAATGTTGTATCAAAACTATTTTAACAAATTACTTTCGTGTTGTTAATTATCCACAGAAATACCCAAAATAAACAAAAAAATTATTATTTTCCACAAGTAAAGTAAACTTCATTCCATCCTATTGCACGTGCATTTGTGCCTCATCAGTTCACTAATTCAGTCTTAAGCAAGCCCACATGCAGAGCAGAAACTTAATGCTCACACATTTATATTAAGAATCAAATTAATCAGGGAGCATTTACATTATGCTTTGTTCCAGCTCCACTTACACTTCCACTTACAGTCTCACTTACAGTCCCACTTACAGTCCCACTTACGGTTCCACTTTCAATTCCAGTTGTAGTTTTACTTTGAGTTTCTGCTTTCAAGGGCGTATGACTAGTTGATCCCCTATGCCTGAGCCATTACGTCCGTACTTGACAAAGGTGCAAAAGGTACTTAAAGGATATTAATTGCGAATGATATATGCTAAACTTATGGCCCAACATGAGCGTAACAATTTATTTTCATTAATAAGCAAAAGTAATTATGTGAATGCTCAGCAAATAGCTTTCTAGGGTCAAAAGAGGTTAGAAGTGCTGTGTGTTTTTAGATAAATGTAATAAAAATGTTAAAAGGGTTCGCACCAGATTTCTATATAAGAGTTAAGTAAATTAATATTTGCATAATGTGTTTATTTATGCAGACGTATTCTTTTTAAGAATGATTTCATTTTAAAATTAAATTTATTTAGTTATGAACTAAATATGATGTATCACCAAATTTTCATTACCACATTTACTTAAACAGACATTTGTTTTTCTCAATCTCAAAGAAGTTGGAAGACAAAATTACTCGAAGAATTTGATTTGTAGTAATTTATGCGTTATGAAGCCGTCAACGTCTTATCAACGTCTTGACATGATTTTTAAAACATTAATGTGGTACGATTATGATATTTTGCCACGCCTATTTGACAAGAGATTTTAATACAGGCTACTAGTTTAAGCAATTCCTTCTACCTTGCTTTTTGTTAATACAGCTTTTTTTTGAAGAGATCTAGTTTTAAGATTGAACGTTCGTATATATATATATTACTATATAAAATATTGCTGTAAAATTGCTGTATAAGATATAATATTATAATATATTGCTATATAAGATGTAATATTATAATATACGAGTAGTACTATAAAAATAAAAGGTATACTTGTTGGTATAATTTCCAATCTTTGATGTTTCGGGAAGTAAGAAAATTTGGCACGTAAGGGAACTGGTAAAAATTGATCGAAATACCTGTCTCTACGAAGATTAGTTGTCAAATCGGAGTGTCTTGGAAACCGGGATGATGCCATCAAATTAATAAATATGTAAATAAATAAATATGTATCGAGTGTTTTTTAAGCTGCATGAGAACTTGAAATGATAATTTTTATTATAATCTGATAGATAATTTCATGGCATTAATTTTCTAAATATGATTTATTATATTTACTATATGTTCGCTGTGGCTACGAGTTACATGGTCCATTCAATCAGTTCAATTTTTGACAATTCCTTCAAATAAATGTAGCTGTATTCCGTCAATATTGGTATGAACATTGAGATCTAATGCTTTAAGAGTTGCTGGTTTGTCGGCATAAACCAATGACTAAACTTAACCATAGCTCCATAAAAAGTAATCGTTAAAGAGAGGCGTTAAATCGCACAAACGAACGGGCCAAGGTCCAGTTAACAGGACCACTTCTGAAAGTAAAGTTAATGATAAATTGATTTCGCAATAAATTGATTGTTAAGCGCGCTGTAAGGCAAGTTGTCCCAATTTGTTGGAGCCCCTATTTGTTGGAGCTCCTATTTCATTTCAACATTTCGAAGGAAATAAGGACCGATGATGCCGCCAGTATTTAAACTGTACCAAACAGTCAATTTTATTGGATGTAATTGTAATTCGTTACTTGCTTGAGCATTATCTTCGCTCCATATATTGCAGTTTGGCTTATTGCGACAGCCATTTAAACAGAAATGAGCTTTAAAACTAAACACAATTTTGCGATGAATATGCTGTATAAAATTTGTGTACATATTTATTTGTTTCAAAGTAAATTTACACAATTGGGAAGCATTGTTCTAGCGTTAAACGATTCTAGCGAATTACCAAACCTTAATGAACATAAATGTCAACAAGGTTTCACATTCTCCGCTATCAAACCATAGTTATCGATGTCTATAATTATCATACAACTAAAAAAACACTCGATATTTTTATCTTTAAATCTGAAGTTATTATAAAAATAACAGGACATTAATATTTAGTTATTATTAAAGTGGCTTTTAAATTGGTGATTGAAGAGAATATCATAAGTTATATTCATTATCGTCGGAATTTTATACAAACTTTCTTTGTTGGTGG